TACAGGGAAGAAAAGGGCCCTGATTCCCTTCATTAGCTGCAGCTGGGGAAACAGGATAAAGAGGATGTCTGCGCACAGCAACTTGCTGGAAGCAAAGCATGCATTATCTTTGTCAAGTCTTATCTGGGTTCTGGCATCCTCCCAATTGTGTGTGTTTCGTTATCTTTTGGAAGTCTGCAATTCCTTATCCTGCCCTGTCTTGTTAATTGCTGCAGCAAGTGGTTTGTGTTGGTTTTTATTTATAATCTATATGTACTTTGGGTTCGGACTGAATTTCTTCCCTTTAAACAACTGTTCTTGGGAGAGTTTTTTCTCCAGCTGATGATAACTGGACATTGAGGGCCAAGTTGGAGGTATTAAAGGGACTTTACCTACTTTTGTGACTTTGTTGCTTTTGTGCCACGCCCCTTTGAGTCATCACATATACGGTCGATTTTTTAAAAGCAACAACCAACATCATTTTTAAGCATGAAAGGCCGCCTCCAATCTCATCCCGGCTTCTGTTGTTTGTATTCGGGTTCAGTAAAAAATTTGGCCTCCCAGCCGCCCGTGTCCCTGACCCCAGCATCAATGTGATGACCTGGGGCACAGCGCAGAGGCCACATGGGCAGCTGGCAGTTCAAACTGCCCAGGGGTGGGTGCTGCTGGGGGTACGCAGGGGTTCGGGAGAGCGCCTAGCTAAGATTCTGCGCATTTCGGAGAACACCCCAAATCCCACTCCTGGCTGGCCCTGCCCACCCTGCCCCATCACTCCCAGGAGTCCCCACGTGGCCCATTTTGGATGCAGGTTATGCAGGGTGCGCACGGAGGCTCACAGGGAGGGCGAAAAACGGGGCTTCCCAGAAGTTTGGGAAGGCCGGAAATGGGCCCGTTTCCAGCTTCCATAGAGCCTCCAGAGTCCGGGGAGGCCGTTTTCCCCCTCCCGGAGGCTCGAGAAAGCCTCCGGAGCCTGAGTAGGGCAAAAAGACCCTCCCGCCGTGGGGCACGCACGCACGCACGCACACACACACACACACACACCAGTCCAATACTGTGAGCAAGCAAGAAAATCCAGCAGGCAAGTCGAAGAGTCCCGAAAGCCACGAAGCAAGGCAAGAATCCAAAAATCAAGAAGGAACCCAGGAAAGTTCAAATGTCGGCACTCAACACTCCGGGAATTCACCATTTGTTCCCCACAGTGTCTCCTTAAGTCTCAGTCCTCAGGTGTGCCTTGTGAAGAGGGGTGGGGCGCTCTCTTCCCGAGTAGCCTGCTCACTCTGCGCTGTTCTCGCCTTCTCTCCACTCTCCGTGCTCTCGGATCAGGAGGGGGACGGTCTTTGCTCATCGCCTGAGCTCTGTCTCTCAGGGTCCCTGCTTAGCCTCTCTTCATCATCCTGCCCCGCCTCTGCCTACAAGCCGTCTTAATCTTGAAAGGCCCAGGTGCTCTTCCCTATTTTCCTCCGAAGCCAACGAAGCCGCCCCCTCAATCTCTCAAATGGGCCGAAAATCAGCTGGGAGGCACGTGCATGCGCAGTGAGGATAAGTCTGGGGCTCACGTGCCCGCACAAATGGCTCTGCGTCCTACCTGTGGTACGTGTGCCATAGGTTCGCCATCACAGCTATATTCTATTCTATTCTATTCTATTGTCTATTCTATTCTATTCTGAATTCTAATTCTATTCTATTCTGCATTCTAATTCTAATTCTATTCTATTCTATT